TATTATACTTCTATGATATGCTTTGTGAAATAAAGAAAAAAAAGGAGGATGCGGATGCAAGGGAGGTGTTTGCTTTTATGGGCCATCGGGCGGTCTGAGGGAAAGTACCACAAACTTAGGCCGCTGTCCGTTCTACTGCGTCAACAACAACCACAAAGCGAAGGGAGTGAAATATATCAAAAAGGCTCGAATAGGGGCCTTTGGAAGACACCATGATCATGTTTTGACTAACTCTGTGGAGATTATTGGCTACAGGAGAAGGAAGGCGAAAGAGAGCAGGAGCATGACAGATTTGGGGGGAGAGGGGGGAGGGAGGGAGGGGGAGAAGCATGATTGCGTTGGGGCCGTGGGAGTGGAGTTACGTTCCATTCCAATCCCATCCAAAAAAGCCATCAGCCTTTGCCGCTGCTGTCTTCGAAAGGCGAGAGAGAGAGAGAGAGAGAGAGAGAGAGAGGGAGAGAGGGATCGCAGGGGGCAGACAGCATGATGAAGGGGAAGCGTTCTCGCTTCCCCCGCTCCACTGCGTGCGCTCCGCTTGTGGGGTCTCCGGCCTGCTGCTATTATGATGCGCTCGTCCTTGTCTATCGCCGGCCAACTTCTGAGCCCCCTCCTGCATCCTTCTCTTTGCTCTCTCTCTCTCTCTCTTTCTTGCTTTTCATCTCATTTGTCTTTCTAAGTTTAGTGGGGACATATGGTGGGAGTCACTCAAATCCGGTTCTCTGTCGATCTAAATCTCTCTACTTACTTATTTGATTTCGGACTAATTCATGGCTTATATCGGTAAACTCTCCACTTAAGTCAATAAATATCTAATATAAAAAAATGATAAATATTATTCACATCGTATATCCCTATTTATACCGATACCTGTGACTGCATGCATATTATTCATGCATAAGCTTTTAGATTAATGACTCCAAATAATACATATAAATAATGACTCCAAATAATACATATAAATAAGCTTATGAGTTTTGCAAGAATTTTTATGATCAGCTTAAATTTATAAAAAAAATTAAATGTATAATCATTGCAACACATATGGTAGTAATAATTTCATAATAATGTAATTTATATCACAAATGGAAATAATAACACATATGGTAGTAATAATAATAATGATAAAATTATAATAAATTATTATTAGAAACTAGCAATAAAATTAAAAGTAGTACAAAATTGATATAAAATTTTGTGAATACAGTCAAGTCATAATAAAGCATCTTTCAGTATTAGAGCTGCAAAGGCAACTTATGACGAAATAAAAAAAAGAATCATATTCTCAATATATAAATAATTTAAATCTATAAATAAAAAAAGGAATCTAATGGGAATTCAACGCCTCATTCTCTCTCAACAACATATAATTTAAACGTATAAATAAAAAACAAAAGGGAATGAAAGATAAAATAATAAATAAAAAAAGTTCAATGCAGTGGAACTTCAACACCACCACAACAACAAAGAAGAACAAAGGTGGTAAACATGTGTTTGATTGATGTAAACAAGAGAGACAGGAGAGAGAGAGAGAGAGAGAGAAATGGCTTCCACGCCACTCCATGCGGTCGTCCTGCGGAGTACAGGCCAAAAATTTCCGGCGTCCTCGAAGCCACTGTTGTTTTGTTCTGTTTCCTATTCCTTTCCCCCTTTATGAACCCTCCACAGAGATCTACTTGAAGCAGCAGCAGCAGTAACAGCTCCAGCTGCTGTGGTGAGAGGCTTTTCCTCCTGTATATATATATATTATTTGTTCTTTCATCACAAATATTAGCAGGATGAGTCTGCTGCCTCCGTCCTGCCCACCATCATTCCTGTCTGCAGGAATTTTCATCATTCCCTCCTGCCAACCCCTCTTTAAATGCCGACAAAAAGAATTATGACATGCATACATTTACTCTCCTCTCTCAAAATATCTTTTCCTTTTTCTTTTTTTTTCTTGCCTTTTCGTGGATGAACGAGTCTTGTTCTCGTAAACCACCGTGATGACTTTTTGATCAGTACTTGTGCCGAGAAGCATCATCATTTTTTGTTTTATATCCCATACGTTGCTAGCAACCTCGAATTCGATCATCGATCTCATATAATATATGGTAGTCAAAGTCACTTGCCAAACTCGTCGTACGTAAAAAGTCAGACTTCCGATATGAAATAAAAATATATTACATTAGGATTATATGTATGTATTTGATTGTCTCGAGTAACCAAAAATATTCATCGTATGTGCATAGTGTCATGCTTTTGGTTCGCGCATCCAAACTCTAGCGAAGTCACGTAAGTGGGATCAGGTGAAGTTGTCGAAGATGGTGGTGGTGGGTGCATCTTTGACGGCAGACATCAGCAGCTCTTCCGGTAAATTTATTGGATCTTATCGACCGAGACCTTCGATTGTGATGTTGTGCTCCGATTGCTGCTGCGTCAGACAAAAATCTTGATTTGCTGCCATATCTGATCCAAATCCAGCGACGAGAAGCTGATCATTGCTGAAGACAACAGCAGACGAGGCATTGCTTAGGATCAAATGTGTAAGAAGGATTAGGAAAAGAGAATCCTAAAAGGTGATGTATCGTTGTTGGCAGGCAAGTGTAAACCATTTGTCAGAGCAAACACATCTTTCTCGAGGGAAGTTTTAAGCCCCCTATGAACCTATCAAATTGGATTTGGTTGAGGGATATGGCCGCTGCAGAGGCAGCAAGATTAGGTTTTCCTCCTCTCTCTCTCTCTCTCTCTTTCTCTCTCCTTCCTTCCTCCTTTAATTTACTGGGAGTTTACTACTATGTGAGGCTGCAGCTGCTGTGCTCCTTCCTCCCTACTCCATGAAAAGGTGAGTGTCGAGCTTTGTCTTGGCCATGGCATTAGTGTTTTCTTGGGGAACATGGCAGTGTTCTTTTGCTAGGGGCTTTTATTCTTCACATCTAAACAAGAAAGAGTGAGTGGATATATCAGATGTCAGATCATGGGATCCAATTCCCAGCTTTTCTTTTGGTTAATGAAAATTTTCTTCTGCAATATGCATTTGCTATGTTTTGTGTACTCAGGAGAGAGAGAGAGAGAGAGAGAGAGAGAGAGAGAGATGCCACTATGGAAAAGGTCATGCAAGCTATCAAAGGTACACAGCCAACAAAAATGTTAGTAAAAGGTCATCATGGTGCATCATTCTGTAAGGAGTCCATTCTCCCACACATGATCAAGCAATTATTGCATTGTATATAAAGTGGCAGGTTCTTGATAGTGGAATGATATAATGATAATAATACGCAAACTTTGTTCTGTAAGGCAATCAATATCAGTCAATTTAATTGAAAATATATACACACATATATATATATATCAAACTCAATGACTATGAAAATGAATTTATATAGACACACCCCTAAAATTCTGTATTCTTATTATAAATAAATAAATGTAAATTATAACTGCCTTATAATCCCAGAAATCATAAAAATGGACTCAAATGCCTTATAACTGGGATTCACCATTACATTGTGCACTACTCTAAAAATATACTATTATTTTGTTTGCCAAATGCATGGGTTGACTCCTGTGTGTTTACATTTATTGACTCCTGTGGCATCCATCTGAGCGTTGATGGCAGATCCAAAGGTTGAGAATAATTTGGAGGAGTGGATCAATCAAAGTCAAAGTGATGTAACAGTTGAAGCCCTCGGTGTACGTTTCCGGTGCATGCAGCGGCAGTTCATGTAGCCCAATGCCCATACCCTCTCATGAAGTCATAAGCTCGAGACACCCAAGCTAAAGCTGTTCCCATCTCATTATTATTCCAGTTTGCTTTATATATGCATGTATGTATATATGGGAAAGAAGAAAGGGTGAAAGGAAGGAGAAGGCCTTCTCATCCCATCCCCTCCAAAAAGGCCACAAAGTCCAAAGATCTCTCTCTCTCTCTCTCGCACCAATCCTACCACCCCTTTATTAGGTCTGCCCAATTCTGCATGGGGGCAGGAAGAATTTTCAGAGGTAGCCAGCGACTGACTAGGCTTTGAAGTACTCAACTGAAAAGAAAACAATGAATACTTTTTCCTCTTTGTTGTGTTCTATTCCTTCACACCATGTCTCTCCGCAACAGTGCAGCAGCACCCACCACCATCCTGTGTTACTTGTGTGAGCTCAGCCTCCATCTTTATTACTTTGGCAGAAAGTTCAATTACTTTACTGGTTGTGAGTGACTTGTGTGAGCTCATCTTACAAAACACCACATTAATTAACTTGGTGGTGTAGTTGTAGTGTTGGACTCAGGCCTGCCTCTGCCTCTGCCTCTGCCTTGTAGGTTTCAGGTCTGGGAGCTGAAGCCACTTCATAGTTTATCCCCTCTTTGGAGGGTTACCCCCATGTAGTTGACTTTGTGACAAGAAAGGATGAGACAGAGAGACGGAGTGAGGAGGTAGGATGAGGGATGTAGTAAGTAGGCCTTGTCACATTCATATATTAGTCTCATAAATAAGAGAAAATTCTCTCACACACTCATTACAAGAAAGGGCAAGAAAAGGACAGTGCCATGGGAATATAATTAATAGTTCACATCCAAAAAAAAAGAAAAAGGTTTGACACAGGAGTGGTAAAGAAATCCTGTGCTCAGAGATTCTGTAGCCGTTTTCTTGCGCTCCTTCCCATGATCATACCTTTGGCTGCTCAAATCTCTCTCTCACTCTCTCTCCTCTTTCTGTATTCCTCTCTCCCTCTGTGTCTTGTTTGGTGAGTCAAAAGTTCTGCGCAGCTGCCATAATCATGATTACTCGGAGGAAAGCGATGATATTAGAAAACCTCTCTTTTCAGGTTGAGGAATATAGCAAATCACAGACACCTCAGCAGAAGAATTTTGTCTTCTCTCTCTCTCTCTACAGTCATTAAATCCTCTTAATAATGACTTCTTCTCATGATCTGTGGCCTCCCACACTGAGTGTTGCGTTAATCGTCGACAGTCCCAACGATATTTAGAGAACCTATGCACGAGTAGGGCAGCTCCAAGGTGAGACCTTTGCGTAGAACACACCTGTAGGAAGATGGAACGCTTGCGTCTTCTACACATTAAAGGAGGCGTCTTCGAAGAAGGTTTAACTTGGCAGAAGGATTAAATGACGAAGAAGAGTTTCTTAAAGGGAAAAACAACACACTGGTGGCTTCTTGTGTTGGAAGCTATAAATCCACCCCGTTGTCGCTGAGAGAAGAGGAGACCGGTTGCGACGGATGGGAAACTGCGGGAGGAATGGTGCTGTGAGACAGTACACAAGGTCCAAGGTTCCTCGGTTGAGATGGACTCCTGATCTCCACCATTGCTTCGTGAACGCCATCGAGAGGCTTGGAGGCCAGGAGAGTATGGCTTCGGTCTCTTCCCTCCCTCTAGTGTGGTCTTCTTTCCTTCTTCCCATCGTTGACCTCCCCCGTGTGCAGAGGCTACACCCAAGCTGGTGCTGCAGCTGATGGATGTCCGAGGCTTAACCATATCGCATGTGAAGAGCCATCTCCAGGTAGAGATTTCAGCCTCCGATTCCTCTTCTCATGTGTTCATAATTTTCTTCTCTTTTTGGCGTGCTCTTGTTCATGTTGCTGACAACGGAAGGCATGGTTTGATCAGATGTATAGGAGCCTAAGGAACGACATGGGCAGACAAGGTAAGGAGATGCTTCGCATGAGGATTTACAGAAACTATCTCTATCATTTTGCTACGAAGTTGTTGCAGTATCAAATCTTGCCATGTCAAAACAAGAGTTCATGATAGGTTCCTCGGCTCAAAGGGAGTAGCAGTTCATGAACTGTGCAGCTGTAGCTGTGTGTAGCTGCAAACCAGTCACATCCCTTTTCGTGTCATCTTGACGCTTGAATCCCAACATCTGTTTCTATGTCACCCAAACCATCTCTTTCGCCCTCCTCAGTGTTTCTATTCATCTGTTGCTTGAAACGAAGCCAAGGTATGAGCTTGGGAACAGCCTTAGCTAACCCATTACCTTGTCTCATCTGGCATCAGAGCTGCAAGCAAGGAAGCAGTCATGGGATGAGAATGATGGTGGTGCTGATGAGCGAGATGATGCTGGTTCCTGCTCCTACTCAAAACCCACTCATCAGGGATTCCAGTCCCAGTCCATGTACAGCAGCACCCTCCCTCCTCTGAAAAGGTTGGCAAGCTCGCTTACTTTTCTTCCACTTCCAACAGTGACACCCACATTAGGAGCACATAAAGACAATTCCCAAGTCCCCTTCTCGGTCCACTTCTGCCCACCTTTCACTAATCCCCTTCACCTTCTTCCTGCTTGTTTCACTCACAGGGCTCGGATGGAGACAGCAGCCACCTCCAAAAGTTGGCATTGCAGCCACTTTCTCGGTGAGAGGATCGCCTCCCAGTCCTGCTTTGATGATTATACGCCAGCGGCGGCCTTGGGTGTTGAGAGGGGAATCAAAGAGGAGGCACTCAGATGGCAGAAACATGCTGCTCTCTTGCCATTTCATCATTCTCCCAAGTTCAAAGTTTCAGGATCTAGGGTGGAAGAATCCATCTCCTTTAAGGTAGATCACAAAACAGCCTACCCTAGTGCTCTACCGCACCCTGCAAAGCTTTTCATGCCAGTCTTTTTAGCATCTTAGCTTTGCTAATTATCTCCTCTGATGACTTTGCTGACCATCTACTTAGGGTTTTCTTGTGTTGGGCGCTTGATGTGACACAGACTGCATGGAACTTGGGTTCTCTTTAAATGCATGTCTCATGCATGTGTATTCAATTGCCCAGTACATGCCACTCCATGAGAGGACACTTTTGCCACTGTGCACACCCTAACCCTTCATCACTGGAATATTCTTCCTAATTTCAATACCATACCAACTCCTATCACTGCATTTATTCTACTCTGTTACATCATCTATTCATTCCTCCCCCATCTCTTTGATTCATTCTACTATGTTACATCATCTAGCGCTTAATGACAGCTTCCATCTCTGAAACCATCAAACGGAGGACTAAGTCTAGTCTTTTTACCGAGTCAAATGATGAGATGAGATAAAAACACTGGCATATACGTTGCTTGCATGCAGCGAAGGTCATCATCATGTTACGGTGTCACTCGATGAGTTTTATTGACTTCTGGAAAACCGATGACAGGTCAACGTTCTCGACCACAAGCATCGCCAAGCAGCACGTAAGCTCAGGTCCGAAGAGGGGGGCTGCAAGAGCCAATGCCGATCGCACAGCGAGGCTACGGAGAACGAGGAAGCCTGCAACTGCTCCTTGTCGCTGTCCTTGTCGCCGTATTCTACGCAGCGGAGCGACGCATCTTTCGCAGGGAAAGGAGGCTTTGGCTTCTGTTCTTCCGCGGGAAGAAGCATCAGCGAATGCTCGGCTTACCCCGGTGGCCACAGAATCAATCTGGATCTGTCCATGTCCATCTGTGGTTCTTGAGTGTAGCCCACCTGTGGATCTGTATGTGTCTGTTCTCATCAGCAGCATACAGTAGTTGTGCCATTGTGAGACCGGTGGATGTACTACTAGTTGGCGACTTGGATTGGTTTGAGCTAACTGAGTTAGTAGGACAGCGTGGTGTTTCTTGTCCTTGGAGTGAAGTAAACATAGAGACTCTCTCTTCGCGATAGTTATTGTGAGCACTTCATTGTACAGTTTGGTCGCAGATAGAAGCTGCACTTCACTGTACCATTTCCAGATTAGATAGTAACAGTTGTTCGCATTCACCATAATCTATTTCACCACATTGGTCCCTAAAGCATCAAAGCAAAACGTTTCATCGATAATAGTTGGGAAGGATCAAAACACCTCAACTAGTAGCACTCTTCATAACACATCTAAAGATCATGGGATAAATTTATATTCCTCTCGTACTTCAAAGATAAAGAGCATTGATATGCATGAAGGCACTTCTTCTTACCTTTGGGATGCAAGATTAATTTTTCCTTCATAGGATGGATGCCACGCCAACTGAAAACTCCATACACAGTCTTTGCAATCAAAATAATCTCTTTATCTGTAAGAATAAGGGACATTGACTCTCCATAAACATCATCACAGTAGGGTTTAACCACCAGGTTCGGAATGGATTATTAGTATGGTTCCCCTTCTCTGCTTGGGACACCAAAATTTTGATGGATCCTTAACACTACCGAGAGTTTGAATCTTCTCTTCGACTCCAAGGTCAACACACCCAATGACTATGTTCTTGAAACTCTTCAGTGTCGTCTGAGGGAGCAGCAAACGTGAGCAAACCAAGGGAGCACAAGAGGGCCGGAGGTAGTGGCACTTTTGGATGTGTGTCACGTCCATGACTCGGTATCTTAAGCGACATGGAGTAGTGATGTGCTGCGTTCCTGCATAAAGATGCATGCAGGCATGCACGCTTTCGTTCAGGCTCAGATGGGGACGTGGAGATAGTAATTCCTGCTAATATGGGTTAAGCATGAAACCTGAAAAGAGAATTGCTTCCAATTATGTTATCTGAACTATGGCTGACAAAGCTTGCGTGTTCAGTACAGGGTAGACCGGGAACATGTGGTTGTGGCTCAGTACACTCATCAGAATGCCATACTATCACACACCGAGTAGTGGCAGCTTACTTTTCTGAAAAGAAACTGAATCAACGTTGGAATCTATCAAAATAGTGGATTACCATATCCACCACCACTCCAACCACCATCCAATTCTTGTAACCAGTCAACAACATGCATGCCAGAATTGTTGTTCCTGCTGACATCATGCACGGTGATGGAACATCAAAATTCAACAGCTATTTATTTCTTGGTGTTACAATGTGAAGAATCATGAGGATCACTTTTCTGGAACGAGAAGAGTGGCTCTCCCAAGTTGGTCAATTTTGTGGAATGGATGATTCCAAGTGAGATGTTTCTCATGCATGCTTTGGGCGAACTAATCTCGACTGCAAGAGAAAAGAGGCGGTAAAGCAAAGCAATGTTTGTAGTTCTTGTGAGCCAGAATTCAAAGTAGGTCTGCTAGTGTAGAAAGATATAAAGAAGCCCTGCAATCATGAACAAAATCATCTATCAATTTACCTCACAATTGGAATTGCTCAAAAGAGGTTCTTAAAATGCCTGTCAAGCAATAACATTCTGAGCGAGTCCAAAAACTCATTGGTCATTGCTGATTATGTTTCATAGTAAACAAACAGCGTTCATCCCGAGTTTAACATCGGCCTTGCTGTTCTCGACCATTCATATTCAAGAGTCCGTAAGAGTTCACCATTGAGCAAACAAAAAAATGTTTCAGGATGCCGAAACTAAAAAAAATAACATTTACAGTACAACAGTCACATGAAAAACACTTTTTGGTTGATAATGAAAAAAGTTATTGCGTACCATCACTGCTGCTGGCTTCTTTTGTCCTTAGCCATGTTGGGTGTTCTAGCAACCGCAGACCAACATAAGATGGCATGATCTATGGTCCAATTTCTTCTGGATATAGGAAATCATGGACAAGGAGGAATGGTAAGCACCACTAGTATGACCAGGGATGGTAATGCCCTTGTGTCGGTGGAGAGCACTGAACAGCAGCAGCAGATGTCTTTGCATTTAAACATTTCTCGTTGTAACATTTATATCAGCAACGAGAGACTTGACGCAGAGCCGAGGCTTGGTGGTGACAATTTCTAGTGGAAGAACAGATACTCCAACCACTAATGATCCAAGTGGAACCCCTGAAATGGGTAATAGTTCTACAAGCACAGCCACCTGCAGATAGTGAAAAACATCATGAATTATTTACTGATAACATGCATAATGATAAAGGTCTACTACAGCATGACAACGCATGTATACCAGCTTAATCATCACGATGCTACCTATTCAAGCTAGGGCTTTTGTATACAAATGAATGAGCATGATAATGGAAGGAAAAAGTAGGATCCTTGCAGATGAGCCCACAGGCTTGCAATACTTAGTTAGAAACGGGATATAGCATTTGCCACCTTCATTCTTCCATTTCAATTAGAAAATAATACAAGTATTTTTACCGGTTCTACTTCAAAAATGCATAGCATTAAAATTTAGAGAACAATACCTCGGGAGACCTAAGATCGACTACTGAATTTTTTGCAACAGCTTTAACTGCCCCCGCTACAACTTTGAAACATGCTTCACGACCCAACAAAGTTGATCCCACTGAGCCCTTATTAGTATGTTTCTGTGACTTCATCTCCGTCTCATCAATGCCTCTTCTGTTATATCCGACTGCAAACTAGTGCAGGGACTAAATTAATATAAACCAGTAAATCACATAGCATTTGGCGACAGATGATTTCATCAAGATAAACTAGAGGTGGAATAGCTATTCTTCGAGTAATGACTAAAAAGATGGTACTCAAAGACATCATAGAAAAATTGAGATTTCATCAAGATAAATTGAGAGTAACTGACTAAAAAGATGGTACTATAAGGCATCATAGAAAAATTGAGATTTCATCAAGATAAATTGAGAGTAACGACTAAACAGATGGTGCTCAAAGGCATCATAGAAAAATTGAGATTTCATCAAAGATAAAATGAGATTGTGTACATCAAACTATTTTCATTATAGAAAAATCAGAAGCAGGAAGATTTCATGTAGAATTGATGAAATAAAATCAAGAAACAACTATAATAACCTTAATAGTTTGCTCAAGTTTCTCCTGATCTTTGCCCAAGTATTCTCGCATAAGTTTTGAAACAACTAATTGTAGATCCTTCTCCTCAAGGACACAAGTTTCTTGAATAGGAAAGATGCGATGGCACCAGCTGTTGGACAGAAAATATTACTAATTTCAAAAAATTATCTTAACCAAGAGATTAACCAACATCATCAAGCAGCAAGAAGAAAAGACGATAAAACCTCTAAGGTGTGCAATCCCCAGGTAATATAATAAGCAACAACTGTAGGAACATACTTGAGATAAATAGTACTAAAACACTTTCTTCTGATCAAGAAGGCCAAAAAGCACCTATAAACTCATGCTTGTAAGAAATGCAACTCACAGAGGAGGTTTCAGCTTTCCAGATCTCAAAAACTGAAATATATTTGATACTACACCAACCACGGGACAGGAAATATTGTTAGGAAAGGTGAACAGAAGCAAACCACTCCTTGTTAACTTCATCAATGAAAGAATATTGCTCCCTTTGAGATCCTCACCTGTCTTGAACAACAGGCAATTAGCATCCTTTAATGCTTTAATTGATTAAAAGTAGCATATAAGAAGATTCACAACCACCTCTTCAAGACACAAATAAGGCATTATTATAATTGCTACTCACATGGAAATGTAGTTTTACTTTCTAGAAAGACCAATAAATTACTACTCCATACCAGAAGCCTCCAAAACACTATTGACTCCATTCTTTTCTTCGCTTTCAGCATTTTCAGGATCTACTCCTGTAGATAGTTTCCTTTTCTTGGCAGGAATCTCTGTACTGCAGGTCTCACTACTTCTAGATGTACAGCTAACAAACTGCAGAATACCACAAGAATTTAAGCAAGGATGTAATACTGTTTCCACAAGAAATACAAGGCTAAAAACCATTTCAGATGAATGAAAAGCAATGTAAGCCTTTGTACTGGCAATCATCTAAGGAGATAGAAGCTGATCACAAACAAAAGAATATAAATAACCTAAATAATTGTATTACCAATTAATTGTTAATCAGAATACACAAAATAACAATGGGGAACAAACATGAGCACTTAACTATGTTTTACACAAATTACACAGGTTTGATCCTCTCTTGCAGTTTATTTGGCAAAAAAAAACAAAAAAACCCTCACTATGTCTAACATCAAGCACAGCAGATTCTTCCCTTGCTCCCCCAACATTTTGCTTGAATCAGCCTTAACCAAATTTGAAAATGATTTAGACATGCCGAGTTACATCATTGCTTATATATGGAAATAACACCTTCCTTTAACCTATTCTCAGATTGACAAAAGAAATAGCTCTATAATATCTAAAAGCAATCCAAGTTTATTTTCTCTTGTTTAAATGCAAGAAAAACTTACTTTTGACTAACACAGAGAGCAAACAAAAAGTCAGTTATCCTGGTCTAACTGGTCCCCATACAGCCTACCTGTACACCAGGCATTTCGATGCCCATCTGTGCCATATCAGCAAAGGTCAGCAGCTTCCCCTGTGATACTTATATGTTTACGTGAACGGCATCCCGTTCAGTGCATACACGTTACAGTATATCTTTACCAAACAATCATGTGATATCTTAAATTATCAGCAATGACTATTAGGTGAAATATATTTGTATAACATCTTCACAATTCACCGGAAAATGTGGACTATTGTTTCTTGTGCACACATAATTTAAACGTTTAAACTATTATGTAGCATCCGCAGATATATTTATACTGAATCTCCATGCAACTAATTTCATATGTATCTTGCACATCTTTTGTGTTCATCTAATGATGTTATAATAACCAATAGAAGTTCTTATCCATTGTTGCATAATTTAAGGCCAGCATTTCCAAAATTTATCTTGAGATGAATTAATCTTTATCTTTGTGCACTAAATATAAATACTACAAAAACTTTCCACTTTTGAGATAACTGTTTATCCATATCTGCCAAGCAAGTATATCTCCTTTCCAAAATTTATTCACTGCACAATGTGGGAAAATGCAAACGCCAAACCCAAACTGACCTCTTCAAGAAGGGAAATGGCTTCCTTTGTGGCACTTTTCTCACGTTCTGGAAAAAGATCACAATATTTGAGTTTACCAACTTCTAACAATAAGCATAAATGAGGAGAAGAAATTAAATATAAAGGAACATAGTAACTAGTTCAGCTTCAGCATACCCGCACATGCAGGACATTTGACTCATGGTTACATTACAACAACAGCATGAAGAAAGCCCGAGTGTGGAAAGTCTTAACAAAATCATACAAATTCTTTGATGCTAACTAATAACAATGAAACTTCATCCAAAAGCACAATCAAGGGTAAGTTGAGATCTGACTTGTCTAAAACCTTGTCCAAACTATTCAACAAATAACACCATAAGCTAACCAATCATCCATCACAAGTTCAAGGAACTTTTTGGATATTTAGCAATTTTGTAAGTTTTAATGGGGCTCTTTCAAATGTGGAAAATGCCATGGATCCTATTACAGAAGGTGACCATTTGGAGCCTCGATAACCAAGGATCACAACTTGAGGTGATAGAGAACCATCTAGCTTTACAAAGGATTTCAAAAAAGTTTGTTCTAGACAAAAAAAATCAACAAAAAGTCATCAATTAATTGGCCTAGAAATTCTAGGAGTTGTGTTGAAAATTGAAAAGTCTTTTGATCTTTATAGAGACTCCTTTATTAAGTACACTCATTTACTATTTAGGTATCCTAGAAGTCACATTTTGAATATCTAAAAGACATACTAATTCCCCAGGAGATTATTCTCGAGAATTATTATCTTCAATAATTGTATCAAGACTTCTAAACCCCTATAAATAATGGAGCTTGTCAATGTATCAAACTTCATATTTGAATGAAAGGGAATTGCATCTTCTCTCTTCTAGTCTTGTTCTCCTCTCTAATCTCTAATCTCAGTCCTCTCTTTTTCTCCTCTTTATTATCTCACACTTCTCTTTCTCTCTGCTTCCCTACTCTATTCTACATCATGAGGTCATGCCACCTCCATAACTACATCAAACCACCCATATCATTGTACCTTCAGTATACTTAACAGACTACCATTATTCCTTCTTTAACAACTTAAATTCAATAATTAATCCTAACTCAATGTGTTAGCAGGACAAACAGGATGAAACAAATGTTCTTGAGAAGAATAGAGCATGGAACCTTGTGTCTTTACCTAATAGAAAGAATCTTATCGTGATTAAGTGAACTTACTTCATAGAATTGAGATCTGATAGGTCGCTTAGTAGATATCAGGCATGATTGGTTGCTCAGGGATATAAACTCTACTATGGATTGGATTGTGATGACACCCTACCATTCAAGTATTGTTAGCACTTTCCTCCTATAATAACCTAGGCATATATCAATTGGATGTGAAGAATGCATTCTTACGTGGTGAGTTAATGGAAGAGGCTTAAATTTCTTTTGCCTCCACACTGCCAGATTTCATAACAAAATCTAGATTGAAACCTCAGAAAATGCTCTATATGGCCACAGACAAGCTTATAAAACATGGTTTGAAAGGCTGTTTCATGCAATAGATTTCTGCAAACTTTCAGCAAAGTCAGCATGATCCATCTCTTTGTGCATCAGCCTAGTCAAGGAACTGCAGTACTATTATATGTTCATGACATACTTATTAGACAAATTGGTTGTTAATCCTACTTAATATTGCCAATTAATTGAAGGTCTAGTATTGCCAAATGTTAAAAGGATGAAAAGTAAGCCTCTTGTTAATCCTACTAAAATGTTGCCACTTGGTTGAAGGTCTAGTATTTCTCACCATGGCAGCCTGATATTGACTATGCTGTTCACATTGTACACCAATTTGTTATTCTAGACAACAAAATTCAACAGTTGTAAAAGGAACCAGTGGTTTATCTTTGTTTTATCCATGTTCGTATTCTTGAGTTGATTGGATATTCTGATACTAATTATGCAGGATGTCCACACATAGGTAAACCAACAATAGAAGTATTATATTTTTTAAAACCTTTGATGTCATGGAGATGCAGGAGACAGTATACTGTGCCTTAGTGTTGAAGCCAAATGTTCCTCTGTCTTGGTGTCCCCATGTCACTCTGACCCTTCTATATGTGGATGATACATATGCAACACAGATTGCACCAAATCCAGTATTTCACGATAACACAAAGCAAATATCAATTTTGATCATCGCCACATTAAGGAACATGTCCTTAAAAGCCACAGTTTCCTTTCTTATATATCTTCTACTCTTGAGATTGCTAACAAAATTTACTAAGAAGCATGACAAGGAGGAGGCAGGTTTTCTTGATGAATATAAACCGATGCTTATGAATCCATATCAGTTCGAGAGGGGAAGAAACTTGTCTCAGTAGCTTTCTATGTTGTGCACTTATCTTCTTTGGCAAAATTGCTATTCTTTTATGGCCTATGTGGAAGAACCCCATTTATTTGGCTTTTGGGCATGTGGCCCCAGTTAATTTTACCAGAAAAAGATAGGTAATGCCTACCCTCCTCTTTTTACCCTAATGCTTGTTCCCTGGAATTTCTGGCTAAAGTTTAGACCATCAAAACCAACCATGTTGTCTTCTTGTTTCTACAAAAACAAAAACAAAAACAAGTAAAGACTTCTTCTTTGAAACAATTCAGATTCGAATTCTTCCATAGCATAGTAATTCCAACAAGGAAAACCTACAGCCAAATCCAAGAAGCGTCGAACTCAAAAATGCAAAACAAAACGCAGCCAAGGGTTCTGTCTCGCATAGTGGGCGCAAAACAGACACAAGATGGGAAAGGGCTCACTGATGGGGCAGGTGATGAGAAACCCGGAGCGGGATTCGTGGAGAAGCGAGGAGGGGGCGGCGTAGTCGTAACGGGGGAGGTTAATCACCGCTGCGTGCTGCTCCCAAGGCGTCATGCCCTCCTCCGCCTTCCCACCGTGGGCAGACCCCGATGCGTCCTCTGCTCCCCCTATCTCGAAGCTCTCTTCTGCTGCTTCTCTCGTCTCCTCCCCCGTCGCCATCGCCTTCAGTTTTCTCCCCGCCTAAACCCTAAACGGCAGTTAGGCGGACGGTCTGCCCAATTTATAGGGTCGATTGTGCCCGGATCCGCTAAGAGTTATATGCACGTGATATGAGGGGGAAAAAAAAAAAAAGAAGACAAATTTCCGTTACCCAAAAAAATAAAAATAAAAAATAATATATATATATATATATATATATATATATATATATATATAAACTTCTAAGGTTTTTTTAAGGTTTCATAAAAAATTTTGATGAAAAATAATACATAAAATAACATTAACTATGACAATATTCAATGAATAAAAGCAAAGGATCTTTTTTTCCTCTTCCAACTTCGCCCGTGCCTCTTTGAACAATTGTTCCTTAATAATTATTCCCTAATATCTGTCATTGATAATTGTTCCTTAATAATTATACATTACATATTATATCTATTGTATATTATCTATTATATATGTATTGTATTTTTAAAATATATTTATTTTATTAACATAATTCTTGTAATATATATTTATATTACATTTTTTTAATTTAAGCGTTCGAAAGATTTTTTTTACTAATTTTAAGTTGACTTTATGTCATTTAACGATTTAAATAATTAATATATAATATAAAATATCTTTTTTATTGTATTTCGTTTTATTAACATTGTTTTCTTTAACTTATATTTATTAATATATTTTTTAGTTAGTTAGATTACATATTTACTTTTTAGTTTTTAAATGGTTATCATAGTCGAAATTGGTAGATATTCTTATTAATTTTGATATTTTATATATTTACTATATAAAATTTTGAATTATGTTATATATTTTAAATTTTAAAATATTTTTAATTAAACCACCGTCCGGTTTATTAACCCATGACCAAAGTGCTACTCAACTTCAAAACCCTAGAAACAGATTTAAGCGAGTTAGAAGAGCCTCTTCCTCGCCCACGGCCATGGCGTCTCCAGCCAAGAAACGGAAGCAACCCCAAGGGAATGAGGAGAGGAGGAAGAGGAGAAGCGGCGGAACCCTGGCCCTAGACGACCTCAAAGCCCTCGGTCACCAGCTCCTCTCTTCCCGCGCCCACATCAACAACCTCCCCGTCCTCCTCTCCTTCCTCTCTCCGTCCTCCCCAGTCGCCCTTGCCCTTGAATCCCTCATCTCTATCCAATCCTTCTTCGTTCCGCTCTTCCCTGAGATCCCTTCGTCGTTGTCCGTCCCTAACAAGCGATCCGAGGCTCCCACCGATGATGGCGAAGAGAAGGACGTCGAGTTGGTTTTCAAGGACTGGCTCAGGGAGAGGTTCGGGGAGTTCTTGAATGGTCTTATTGAGATCACCGTCTCGGAGCAATCCGTCGATGCCCTCAGGGTAAGAATTCTTTGGATTGCATCAAGATACCTCTGAGGCGGCCAGGATGTTTCTTAATCCCTTCTTGTAACCGGATTATTTTAGGATGTCGCCCTGGATGCGATTATGGATTTTGTCAAGCTGGGAAAGGACGGAAGATTCCACTCGGCTATTTATCATAGGTTTCTGCATAGAATTGTAAGATATTCTTTCAAATCTACAACACTCTTGCAAGTGGCCTTACCACACGATTATGGATTTCTAGATGTTTCTTGGAGCTCAGAATAAAAGAAGTTTTCTCAACTTGTTTGATAAGTTCCCAAATATCTGTTCTTACCATAATATTTTTATAATTCTCACTTGATTGGTTGGTCATTGTTAACTGCAGCTGTCATTCTATTGGTATAATTTATGGTATGGCTTAGACATATAATCTGCTATGGAAATTGATGGAATAACTTTAATCTTATATTGTAAGCGGGATGAAAACTAGATGCAACTTCTGAATAAGCTTTGAAATCTCAAAATGGCATACTTCAATTATTGTTTTCAAGATCCACCATAACTTCATTACTCATAACTGCTGACAATAAACAAAGTCAAACTTCTAGGTGTCAGTTTGGGCACCAGCAACATCTTATTTGGTTATCTTTATTTATAATGGAGGCGGCACATTATGTGCTTCTGCTATTATCCATATGTAGCTCTACCAGCAAAAAAATTTATTTCTTTTCTGATTCCCTGCATCTTTCTACTTCTGAAAATTCTATTATGCTAATAATTCTTCATGGTTGCCAGTCATGGAAGTTTTAATAAGGTCTCTTAGGTTAACCTTGTTCCATGTCTTATTTCCTCAATATGATAGTCTAAATACACCATTTCAGTACATTTAATCAGAATTATCAGATAAGTAAATCACAGTTTATCAGACTGGAATAATGTGATTGCTAATCCATCTATTACACTGTTGACCAAATGCAACTGATCTTGATGACTCTTCCTTGTTGATTTTATTTTCTTTTTATAATTTCACGAGAAGGCTTGATCTAAGGAAAATATTGGAACATTAGATACCCAACCATAAAAAAATCCTCAGCAGTTTGAATAAAGCATGGATACACGGAGAGGACAAAGAAAGTTTCAGGACATTATTGTAGATCAGAATGCCCTTTAATGGTGCATATGCCTCATTTTCATAACCTCATCAGATGTAGTGTAAATGTGCCCCTTAAAGTTTAAACCTGTTTTAGTTGACCTTTTGAAGTAATTGCTTGTTTATGTGAAGTAGTGTTTATTTGTTTCGACCTTCAGTTACCTTTTTAACTACATTACCACTTCATTTGCATATAACATTTTAACAGTTTAGTTTGCATATTTAATCTTTTAGTATTTATATTTTTATGCAGGTCCGTGCTACATCTGCTGTTGATCCTTTGTTAGACTTGCTTGGACCAAAGTATTTCAAGTACATAGATGTTCGGTATGGGATACCTTGATAATTACTGCCTAAAAGATCATATACGCATAAGTTAAAATGCATATTGAAGTTTCAAGGTCATTTACTAATTGATTATTATGGATTCGGTATGTATAAAGCATGTCGATCCTATCTTATTTTTCAAGTGCATGTGCAACTCTGTCTCAAACAATGGATTTGTTTATTGTGTCATGGCACCATGTTCACATTTGTTATATTTATGAAACATGACATTCTGGAGAGTTGTTACGTAGACCAAATTTGGCTTGTGTAAGGCATTATGAAACATGCCCATATTGTGTCATGGCATTCAAATGTGATATTTATGAAACATTCAGCTTATTTGGCTTGCGTAAGGCATGAAATAGCCTTGATGGTGCAAATTTAAAGTTGAGTGAATTGATGAATACTATTAAGGAAAATATAATGATCTACATTACATAGTGGACTTTGAGGTATTATGGTAATTTTTAATTTTTTTGTGATTTTAGAAAGGATTTTAGTTAACGTGACCATTCAGTTGACATAAGATTTTACATGGTTGCAGCTTGCAACTAGAGTTTGACATAGATTTTACATGGTAAGGTGGTATGCCCACTAGGCCTAGCAATATGTGCAATATATTTACTTGGCTATTTATTGGCATGGCTAGCATGGTATGACATGCATAGCTTGGCAGATTGACTACCTATTGGCACATAGATCATTGTAAACTAGTGTTGTTCGCTCGCTTAGGCGCTCGGGTGAGGCGAGGCCCGAGCACCTCAAGGAGTGTAGCTTATTGTTAGTTAGTGCTTTTAATTGATTATCTTTAAAATTGTTATACTGAATTTGTATGACAGGCTTCAGGTTCTCTTGTTTAAGTAATGAAGTCGTGCTACCACACCTGTTACCACATTTTCTTCTTTTTTGTTCTTGTTCTTTTCATCATCAGCCCAATGACAGACCAAACTGACATATGCATTTATGCATGAGTAACTCACATGTGGACATTGCTTTGAGGCCCTTTTGAGTTTCTCAGGTTCTCTATTTTTCATGCAGGTATTTTACCTATACAAGTATGGACAAGATTATCAAAAGTTTCGAATCAAGTAATACCAACAGTTATTATTGAAGTTGCAATTATGTTTCTTAAGAAAGTTCACACCTATTTGTACTGACATTTTGCTGTTGTTTACGTTAATATTTTTTCTACAGAAATTGGAAAAGCTACTTTGCACAGTGATGAAGACAGCTCTAAACTAAGGTGGGATTTAAATTTCATAAGGGATATGTTTTATGTTCTTTTATTTGTTGAGATCATATATCTTTTATTTCGTGTGTGTGTGTGTGTGTGTGTGTGTGTATATATATATATATATATATATATATATATATATATATATATATATATATATATATATATATATAGTATAGTCGT